TTTGTCTGGTCATGACTGACTCTGATTATGAAGCAGAATATTGACTCTGATGAAGAAATTCACTCATCCAGCCGGGAAGATGGACGCTGCTGCAGCATCAGACAGCTGGTGCTGCACGAGAGGTGTGTGGAGTTTACAAGCTCCAAACGTTGGGTTTGATGTTGGTTTAACCTTCTCTGGGACGTGATGGATGTAGAAATGATGGTAAAACACCGCTAACGTGACAGACGTAGCGACAATGTTAAAAAAAAAAAGACGTAAAAAAGAGGCAGATGCCGATGCGTTATATATGGAAGTCAAGTGTGCCACATAATCACAAAAAAGGTCAAATACAAAACTTAAAAAGAGCTTTATATATTTATATATAAATTTAAACTTTCCAAATATTATGACAATTTCTAAATTAACAATACAAAGGAATATCTGTTGGTCAGGCTGAAAAGTTTGGGAACCACTGCTCTAAGTGATAAGTGAATAGAGTTGGGCATCGATCATCGATTGGAACCGGTTCAAACTGTTAGTTTTCCCTGGAATTGTTCAGTTTTTTATTTCGATTCCTAGTTTCGATTCCTAGAATGCTGACGGAAGAGGAATCCGCGGCCGATCTCTGTGACAAATTAACGTGGTCTGCAAATACTGATCAACGCTTTTCAGAGCTGATCACACCAGCTGTCTGTGTGCAGCACGAGTCGCCCCTCCCCCCACCCAGATGTAAACAAACGCGTCTGCCGAACTTTTACTCCGTAATGTAAACTTTAACTCCGGCAGTGTAGAGGAAACATGTTAATCAACACGGTGGATTTAATAGAAGCTTAAAGAACAAACCCTGGGCGGTGTGAGGTGAGTTTGCCTCACTGCAGAAATAAAACACACACGGAGCATCAGCAGTCAGACGCAGCCGCTCACCAACACTCGTGTGTGTGTTTCCTTTTTGAACTATTTCTGTTGAGTTTTAATGTTTAAACCTGTTAGATTGTTACTGACAGCAGCTACGTTTAAGTTTCTGTTCTGATCGAATGCTGCTGCAGCATGGAGGTGTAGTTCACAGTCATCCTGGACATGATCATCCTGAGAGTTTTAGCTGAAAACAGCTGGACGTTTCTGGATCTGTTGGAGACATTTAGCCTCTCATCCCAGAGGCTTCTTCCAGACTTTGGTTGTGGTCAGAATCAAACACACTGGTTGTGCTGCAAGTCTTTTTCTTTTTTTTCTCCAAAACATGTTTTTGTCTAAATGAAGGTGATGTTGTTGTTGATAGTTAAAATTCATGTTGAAGTTAAGATTATTTCATCAAGTAGGACCTGTGGTTAGCTGGCTCATGTAAAACATGTCATGTCTTGAAAGAATTGGAATCGGGAATCGATAGGAACCGGAATTGGAAATGGAATCGTTCAAAATCAAACGATGCCCAACCCTATAAGTGAATATTGTTTTTAAAATATATTTTTTTGGGCTTTTATGTTTTCTGTAAAGATCGGTATGCTGAAAATCATTTAATGTTTTGCATAAAGCATGAGGTTTTGGTTAGTAATCGATTGGGAGAATAACAAATGACTGACTTGGATAGTGTTGATCAGGCAGAGCTTTGTTGCCAGCGTTCAATTGCATAATGGCTTCAAACAGTATATAATAATGTTAGTTGTTACGTAAACCGTTGGATGAAATTACACAAACTGACTGAGCTCTAGTTAAGGGCCTTGCAATTGCTTGTGTATGTGTATGTGCGTGTGTGTGTGTGCTGCGTGTGTGTGTTTGGTGGATGGTACCTTTGTCTCCCCCAGTTTGAAAATCCTATCTGCGCCCCCGTATACAGTCAAAGTATCAAATTCTTAAGAAAAACATGAGTTTACTTTTTTGAACTACTACCGTAACAGTTTCTCCGGTAACCCAGGTGAATCTGTGTACGCTCCAGCGGCTGTTCGGCCGAGTTCAGGCCGCGACGGCTCACTTGACCGCGGTTCTAAAAGCGGACAAAGCAGCGGCTCATCTCCCCTTCTACATTTAACCTTTTTTTGCTAAACTATTCTACTAAAACGAGAAAAAGAAAACAACAGAAACGGCTAATAACGAGTCAAGTTGATATAATTACCTTCAGATAAAGGAGAAACTGCGCCACGTACAGCACTTCAAATGTGAAAGTGAAAGAAAAATTCATCCGGTGTTGTGCCCGGATTTGTATCCCTGAAAGTTAAGTTGATCTGAACAAAGGCAATCCCACCTCATCGAGGAGGCCAGCACTGTAGTTGCACAATTTTTTTTATTTTCCAAAATAAATAAATAAAATATAAAAAAGTTTTGACAAAACAAAAAAAAAAAAACGAAAGAAAGAAAATATTAAATTAAAGAAAATATAAAAACGTCATCGCTGTCTGAATAAACATTGACACAAGTATAAATAAGTACAAAGTAAAATAAGGGGATGATAAAAATAAACTATTTTGGGTTAATTCTATTTCTTGGAGAAAGGTGGAATCAAACAAGTTTTTACTCCTTTCTGCCTCTTTTCAGCTGTGTGAGAGAATTCATGTTATTCTTTGCTTCTTTTATATTTATCTTTACTTCTCTGTTAGAATATGCACCATAATGAATATTTGTTGTTTACAATAATAAAAAATAGGTTTCCATACCTGGAATAAATGTTACGGATGTGTTAGTGGTCTCCCACTAGAGGGCAGTGTTGATCAGATCAGCATGTGACCAGCTTGTGAGAATCCTGTGATTTGCTCTGGCCTGACCAGCCAGCCCCATGCTTCTTTATGGGAAGCATTAGTTCTCTGTGTAGAATTAAAGAGAGGATGATTCTGGCCGGCCAGGCTACTGGTTTTATTCATCATGAGATGTTTCTGGCCTCACTTTGGGATGCCCCTTAATGAGTCATCAGTTGGGGCCGAAGCAGCTGATTTTGAAGTGGCATGATTGCTTATAGCTGCTTTGCATGTGTTTAATTCTTCCCTCGTGTTATTTCAGTTTATGACATCACAAATAAAGCATCACTCACCAGTGTTGTTCAGCTCTTGAACGCTGACCTTTCACAGTGATGCAGGGGACAGTTCTGTTCTGGTTCTGCTGGACCTGACTGCGGCCTTTAACACATGCTACTGTAGGCTGAGAGACTACGTAGGTCTTCAAAGGACCGGTTCTCTTCTTATCTGTCTGAGCATTCCTTCTCTGTGGCTGTCTCCACCACCTGCCCATGTGCCACAGATTTCACATATGATGTCCGGGAATTTTTAAGACACATTTTGATGCCAAGAAAGCGTTTCGACAGGCGGGAAAAGTTATTTTAGGTTTTGTTTGAAAAAACGTAACTAACTAAAAAATTTGAGTCTCACCAAATTGACATAATCTAACCAGAAACGGAGAAGAGAAGAAAAAACTGGGCCATCAGTTGAGGCTCAAGCAGCTTATTTTCATTAGAAGTGGCAGAATTGCCTTCTTGCTTCTGATTGACTACAGCTAGAGTTGTGACATCACAACTGAGGTATTTTTTAAACAGCTTGTTTTAAGGACATCATTTCTGAAACCAAACCTTGACAGAAAATAAAAGGACAGATTTGTTTCATGTTTTGAGTGGTTTTATTGACCCAGTCCATGACAAATTATTTTTGTCAACTTAGCAACTCTCTACCATGGGCATCACAGAGAAAGCACATGCCTGGTTTGAATCGTACCTCACAGGACGATCATTCAGCGTATCTTGGCTTGGACAATCCTCTACCGTGCACCATCTTGCCACAGGAGTCCCCCAGGGCTCTGTACTAGGACCTCTTCTCTTTGCCATATGCACCACCTCACTGGGTGAGATCATTCGATCACATGGCTTCTCCTACCACTGCTACGCAGATGACACCCAGCTCTATCTGTCATTTCCAACGGACGGCCACACTGTCTCTGCATGAATATCAAACTGTCTCTCTGACATATCAAAATGGATGAAATCCCACCATCTCCAACTCAACCTCTCTAAACTGAACTACTTGTCATCCTAGCAAAACTATCCATACAGCACAATATCTCAATCCAAAATGACTTCCTATCTCTGACTCCTACAAAGGCAGTTCGAAATCTGGGTGTTGTGATTGATGAACACCTGACCTTTAAAGATCATGTTGCCTCTGTTGCTCGTTCATGCCGCCTCGCGTTGTATAACATACGAAAGATCAGACCATACCTAACACAACATGCCACCCAGCTCCTGGTGCAATCTACTGTCATCTCCCGCCTCGATTACTGCAATGCCCTTCTAACTGGTGTAGCGGAATATAGGGCAGAAATGGCATATTCATAACGCTACACTGGTCTTCCAGGCTGTACTGTGAGACCTCTTCAAATGGTCCAGAACGCAGCGGCGCGTCTGGTCTTTAATCAGCCAAAAAGAGCACACGTCACCCCTCTGTTCATTGAGCTCCCCTGGCTACCGCTAGCAGCATGCATCAAATTCAAATTGCTAACACTAGCATACAAAGTCCGAGATGGTACGGCTCGCATCTACCTGAATCCTCTTGCAAAGGCGTACGTCTCGGCCCGGCCGCTCCGGTCATCACAAGATCGTCGGCTAGCAGTGCCTACACCACGCTCAGGACAATCCAGACTCTTCTCATGCATCGTTCCACAAATGTGGAATGGCCTACCAAGCACTACCAGAACAGGGGCTTCATTTTTAATTTTCAAGAAACTCCTGAAGACACTGCTCTTCAGACAGAATCTCCTAAACTAGCCCCCCCCCATACCGTCCACTCACTTGTTCACTACTCCCCATGACTGATGTCAAGTTGTTGTTGTTATTGTTGTTGTTAGCCTCAAGGGTAACATGCCGATTGTCACTTGTAAGTCGCTTTGGACAAAAGCTTCTGCTAAATACATAAACATAGAAAAAAATTCATATTCAGAAAATTATTGATGCATATGCAAATTCAGAACGGACACCATTTGGGCTTCCCAGTAAAGTTCCTTGCTAAAATGGTTATTCTGCAACAAGTCAATGAGAATCACACAGCAAAGACTTTCATAAGCTAAACTTTATTGAACCGTTAATCTCAGCAAGTTACAGTTCATTGTTTTGTAGTTCACATTTGCCATCCGAGAAAAACAAAGTCTTGATCTTTCCAAATTTCCTAATGCTTTACCATGCATCAAACTCTTAATGTTCTACTTACTTACAAATAGGAATAAATAATGTCATTTTCTAATAAGCTCATTTTCTTATAATTATGTGAAATATAACCTTCATATGTCGGTGCTACACAAAACTCACCGCTGTCTGTCAGTGTGATCACAAAATATGACACTTAAGAAACTTAGTGACTTACTTCATTTACAGTACATTGTAAAAATATTAGTTGTGCAAATATATTGTACTAAGACTTTTGCTGTGCACTAATGTTAGGAATATATGACACATTTTATTAGTGATGGACCGATCTGAAAATTTTGGGCTGATACCAATATTTGTCAATACCAATATACTCACATTGATGCTTCTAAAATCAGCTGATTCTGTGTAGCATAAAAATGATTAAAGCTGAATTTGTTATGCACACACACCACACACATTTTGTGTGTCACATTACTAAACAAATACACATCAACCCCCTCACCCTCTGAAACATGCAAATAAATGGAGACAAGGTGGAAAAATATTGGTTGTTAATATTGGCCCGGTTTTAAAGATTAAAGTCCCATCAGGTGTCACACACACACACTGATGTGTGCAAAATTTGGCTTCTGCATTTGATCCATCCCCTGGGGGGAGCTGAGCGTCAAACACAGACGCGCTCGGGAACCATTTGGTGGTTTAACCCCCCAATCCGACCCTCTAATGCTGAGTGTCAAGCAGGGAGCACTGGGTCCCATTTTTTCAAAGACTTTGGTGTGATCCGACCAGGAATCGAACCCTGAACTCCCAGTCTCAGGGTGGACACTCTACCACTAGGCCACTGAGCTATTACGATTTTTATGTATTAATTATTATTTATTTATCGGACCGATACCGATATGTTAAAGGGACTTTACGGACTTTTGAATTTTTATGCTCGTGATTGCCCCCTCAGGCCAAAAGCTTAACGGCAGCTTCAATACTAGGCTTGTGCACGAGGCGCGCATGCTGTACGTGCACACTCCCTAACGGAAATAGCAGCTGAGACAGTCTGTGTGTGTGTGTGTGTGTGTGTGTGTGTGTGTGTATGTGTGTGTGTGTGTGGCCCGGAGGACAGAGGACAGGAGAACATGCAGCTAATTAATTAAATAATTTGGTTCTGTACCTTTCTCTTCAGCACAGCCGACAAAGGTTTATGATGGGTCAGTCCTCCTGCATGCTCAGATCATTCCCTTCCCTTGCTTGAAAAATTGTTCCAAAATGAAAGTTGAACCCACATCTTTTTTATCTGTGAATTCAATGCCGTTCGGCGAGTCTCAAATAAAAATTTGGGCATCTTACTGTAAAAAAATATACTATTAATGTAAAAAAGAAACTAAAAAAACTATGTTCACACCCAGAATCAAACCCAGGTCTTCTGCATGAGAGTCAGACATCTTACAAGGTGAGCTACACTCTAGTAACATTCACAGTATCTGTAACTTTTATATCCTTGATGACACCTGAAACAACGTCAAACCAAAGAACGGTTCGGAGTGAAAATGGCTATTTTGTTGCTAATTTGCAGGAAATATCTAGAAGAAAGTTCTACAGAAAGTAGTTAAGGGTCCTCAGAAATGTAGCTAGCTTTGTCACTAGGCGTTAGGAACAGCGACAAAGTGGCACTGCCTCTCTCTCTGCTGCTAAAGCTACAGATAGCAAATGCTACGGGCTATGCCTGAGCGTGAACGCGCATGAAGCAGCCTGCTCGACCCGAGCATCTCTCTTTTTCTGTGATTTTACAGAAAAACAGGCAATCACAGTAAAAATGCCAGGGCTCATTCTACAGGACCAGGGCATTGCAGGAGAATGTATGAAGAAGACATTTATTATTTCTATACATGTTTTGGCTGTCTAACTTCCATAATGTCCCTTTAAAAATGACCAACATAGTCGATATCGATGCTGATGTATGTCCATCCCTACATTTTATCTTATGAATTAAAATCAAGTGAGACTGAAACATGTAGATAAAATGGTTGGTGCCCAGCTGTTGGACAAAGAAACCACAAGAGTCAATGAAAAAACTTCAAACAAAATAATAATTGACTAAAAATGTACAGATGAAAATCTGACATTGCTTATGACTGGTGGATCAACAGAACCTTTTCCATCACAAACTAACGGAACATACCAGGATTAAAAAAATGGTTCATTTAATTTAATATTTAGTTGTTCGGACTTTTGGTGTAACCAAGTGATTTCTGTAACTCTCAGGGAGGCATCTCACCTGTCCACAGGTGTTCTGTTAGACCTTCTACTCATGAGCAAGGTCTGAAAGGTTCCATCTCCAGGTGTTTCAGCTCCTTCCAAACATCAGGACTCATGGAGGACCACTTCTGACTGGTCTAATGTTTGGTCTTGAACCATTCCTGGGTGATTCTGAGTGTTTGGGGGTCTTTATCCAGAGACTGAAACCAAACATTCTATCACCGAGCAGCACATTTAGCTCTAGAACACCTTGATGATCTTGAGGTTTCATTGGTCCCTGGACAGAATCAGAACTTCTTGGTAAAGATGCAGTAAAGCAGCTCCAGAGCAGAACCTAGCCTTCATGTTTCACAGCAGCTTCAGCGTTCTTCATGTTAGCGACTTGTGATCATAGAGAAGATGTGATTGGCCAAAAAGCTCCAGTTTTTGTTCCACCTGTCCGAAGAAAGTCCTCCCAGAAGATTTGTGGCTCTTGATGAACTATCTTGCCCAAGGACACAATGACTGGCAGTGACAGAGCATGGGTTCTAACCAGCAACCCACTAATTACAGGGTGAACTCCTAACCACTATTGTGGATTGGGGGGGGGGGGGGGGGGGGTTTCAATTCAAAAGCAAATTTTCTGTAAATCCTAAAATATTTTTACTTTTGTGAATTTCAGCGTTTCTCTCATTAACAACGTGGTACCAACAGGTCTATCCCCATCAGTAAAGAAGATAGATACAAACTAAAGAAATGTGTAGTTGGACATCTTCAAGAAGTTATGAGAAGATGGTGTTGAAATCCTACCTTGGTTTTGTTTGAATGTCAATGTTTCAACAGCTTCTTCAAAGGAACGTCAGCCAGTTAAAGACAGAGACAGATCTTTTTAAACCGGTTTGGCGCGCAATCCTCTAAAGCCGGGCGTACACTGTGCGACTTTTTCACGTTCTGAGCCGATTTTCCACTCGTGCGAGAATCCACGAGATCGGGGCGAGTTTTGCGCTGAGCGTCGTGTAGTGTACCGGGGGTTACGAGAGGCGATTAACGCCACGTGACCAGCTACCGATCAGCAAAAGTGAGCTCGCATGGCTTCTGGAGTGTTTGATATTTTGCTCGTCCCTCGTGAGGGTATCGCACTGTTGAAGCGGCGCTGCGAGCGGCTGCGACCCAAAAAGTACCAGAACCGCTCACGGCGCATGCGCAATCATGCATCAACACCGCTCTCCCGCTATTTCCCTAATAACACACGTTGTTCGTTTTTATTTCTACACGTTGTTTTACTCACAAAGATTGTCAAGAAAGCGTGTTTGTCGTGTTCATGTCAAATTAAACTGATCACAAAACACAGATTTACTTTCTTTATTTCGTTTTCCTCATCCAACCCCCATAAATCCCTGTGTGTCCTCCTGCAGCACTCCCGAAGGACAACAGGCAAGACAAAAAAGTCTAACGTGTTGAGTAAAAACTGCTTTTTTTAGCATATTTTTAGGTCCGACGTGTTGCTACCAGACGTACAGTGTGAGCAGTCAGGTCGCATCCGAGAACTGGGTCGTGCAGTGAGAGCACACGACTCGTGAGATCTACCCTGCGAGGAAATCGTACAGTTTGAGCTGAAGCTGAACGCTGCGAGTGAAAAAGTCGCACAGTGTCCGCTAGTGGTGTGCATCTCTACCTGCCTCACGACTCGATCCGATTCCGATTATCTGCCTAACGATTCGATTTGAGACTGAAAAGCATCACGATTCTTCACACAAAATTTTCTTTACTTAATAAAAGCAGTAGAATAGTTTTCAATTTCTTTTTGATTTCGATATCCCTGAAAAACAGAACATCCATCTATTCACTATAGTGAGCAATAATTTTTAAAGTGTGCTGCCTATAATTACTTAAATAATATAAGAAATAATGTTTTCGGTAGAGCAGCTTTAAGATAGAATATTACTGAACTTAAAAATAGTAAACAAATACTGTGTTAAGTGATTCTTTCACATCCAGGATCCCAAAACCGAAATTAGCCCAAACATCCGATTTAAATGTAACGGGTACATCTTTGATTACTGGTAATGTTGGCCCTGTATCCCTGTCCGCCTTTTCTGTTTTAAATTGGCGCTAGGGCAACGCAGTGCGCATGTCATTGCAACTCTGCCCTCAGAATTAGTTGTAAAACCTCAAAACTTTATTGTCCTGCATAGACATAGGGAGAAAATCTCATTATGTCACGTTGCTGCATTGATATGGAATCATGCACGGCTGAATCGCGATGCATCTTAGAATCGATCATTTTTCCCACCTCTAGTGTCCGCCCAGCTTAAGAGGGTTCAGTTGCAATTGTTATTTAAATCAGAAGAACTGAGAGGACATTTAGTTTGTGTCTACTGGCCCGTTTCCACTATCAGAACCTCTGCGTAAATTTACCTGACCTTCATGGCATATCTGTCTTGGTTTTACTGCACCGGCCTGAAAGGACCGGTTTCAGGAACCAAACCCAGAAATGTCCCGGAACTTTTCTAGCGAAAACTTAGCTTATGGCTCAGCTGAACAAAGAAAGACCGAAGAACCAGGCCAGAACCCAAATCCAGGGTACAGAGGTTCAGTAAACTTGGCCGTCAAGGTGTGCAGGTGGACCGGTGTAGAAGACGAGGTTCTGTAGAAAGACAGTGTGCCAGAAGAACGATCCACATACACGCCCAGTTTGTGAGCGGGACTAGACGAGGAGGAGGAGGAGATGTACTCTCTTTTGCTGTCGTGGCAGACCGAGTATCGACCTTCATCAGAACAACTCAGAGTCCAGGACTTACTGTTAAATCCAAACTCGCAGTCGTTACTTTTCACTTTGCGCTGGACTCCTTCGTAAGTCACCGATATCTCAACCTTTCCGTTCCATATGACCTCCCAGTAACAGCGATCGGGAAGACTGTCCGTGCACATCACCTGAGGCCAAAAGTCAAACCTGTTGGGGTGATCAGGATACTTTTGATCTTCGTCCACACACGTCACCTTCCTGTTGTTGTCTGAAAGCTTGAGCTTTCCGTTGATTGTTTCTTCATTGATTGTGAGCTGACAGGAATCTGATGGAGACAAAGACGCATTCCAGCTGTTTGTTCAAGACAAGTTGATGAGTCATGAATGAGTGTAATGACAGCTCGATGATGGCTGAGTTGTCATGAAGTGAATGAACAGCACACTTACACTTCTTCAGACCATGTGTCAACCACCTGTCTCCAGCAGGCTCCAGCCTAAAAAGAAAAGACGACATCTCTGGTGTCACTTATCAATCAATCAATCAATTAATAAACTTTATTTATATAGCACTTAATCATACAATACATGCAACTCAAAGTGCTTAACAAATTAAAAAGGCCCCACATTCCCTCCCATCCTCAGAATTTTAAAAACAGTCTGACAATAAAAACCCCTTCACAACACTCCTCCACCGACACACACGCACACACACACACACACACACACACACACACACACACACACACACACACACACACACACACACACACACACACACACACACACACGCCCCCTTCCCCATGGTAAAAAAATAAAAACACGATTGGCTGAGATCAGATGAGCCAGACCAGCTAAGATAAGGATAAGGAAATGCCATCAGGGGAGCCATCCGCCCTGACAGCAGCAGATCCACAGCTGCAGCTGAGGCACTGACACCGGGCGCCCAGGGCAGGGAGGGCAGAGACCCCCACCTCCACCTAGGCACACATGGAAAGCACCCAGGCCGCCACAGCTGACCACCGCCGCCAGGGCAGAGGGCTCCCACAGAGGAAACACTGGAAAAAGGTTAAATCAAGGTTAAAATATAAAATCCAAAGAGCTAAAATGAGAATAATATTAATAATAGATATTAAAATAATGTTGATCATAAATCTATGGTAAAAAAAACTGTTTAAAAAGCACGTATAAAGAAAGAATACATTAAATAAATAAAATAAATAGATCAAATAAATAAATAAAGTAATTAATTAATTTAAAAAGTGAGAGTATTCAGTTAAAAGCTAAGCTAAAAAAGGGGGTCTTGAGCCTGTTTCTAAAAACATGAACATTCTCAGCAGCCCTGAGGTCCCCTGGTAGCTCGTTCCAGAGGCGAGGACCGTAGTACTGGAAGGACGCCTCGCCGTGAATATGTGTCCTGACTTTAGGGACTTTAGCGAAACTTATGTTTTGGCTTAAAGCCTGTAGAGGCTAAAATGTGTGTGCATCAGGTCTCTCCATACCAGAGTTTATTCAGGCTCCAGTCAGGATTCCTCTGTCCAGCAGTCAGTGCTTCCACACTCTCCTCTCCTGGGTGATTGTAGCTCAGGTCCAGCTCTTCCAGAAGGGTGGGGTTCAACTTCAGAGCCGACACCAGAAAAGCGCAGCCTTCCTCTGTGATCAGACACCCTGACAGGCTGCAGACACACGTAATACAGCAGAAAAAGAACACTTGATATGATTCAAAGGTTAACCCCTCATGGACGGGCAATTTCGAATTGATCAATCAATCAATCAATCAATCAATCAATCAATCAATCATCAATCAAGCAATCAATACTTTATTAATCCCAGAGGGATATTAGAGTTTCAGTACACACAATTCAGAGATCAGACATACATGGGCAAGACAAATGACAAGAATTGGTGACTGTGGTCATTCGCAACCCAAGTCGCGCTACCTTAATAGAGATAAGAGGGTTACATGAGGATTGGTTCAGGTGGAGGGAAAAAAAGGCACTTCAGAGTTACCCTCCACCGGGAGGGCAGCTTTGCTCTGCAAAAAAACACCTCAACAGATATGGAACAGACTTCAGACAACACAACATAACATGAGACCCCAATAGGAAGGTGGGGAAGGGGGAGGGGGGAGGGGGGGGGGCTGGGATTCTGTTTCCCCCAGCGAAAGCAGCCATCTACGGCGGTCATCTACTGTACAGTCACAGGTGGGAGGGAGATCTTGGGAGAAGCGAAGAGCACATTGACTCCTGCAGATTGATGACCACGTCAGGCTGAAGTCCCCCAATCCGAAGGGGGGGGGGGGGTCGGGTTTTCACAGTATCTGTCTGCATGCCTACGTGGGGGTTTTATTTGTTTGCAGCTCAAGACTACCAGGGCATCAGATTCGGATAACAAGACTTTGTTTGGGTCAGGCTGAGATAATTTTCCTCTCTGCCTTCAGTCTTTAAACTGATCATTTCCAGTCCTTCAGTGAAGCCAATTTTGGGTTTTTAAAGTTGTCCATACCGTCCGGTGACTCTCTCCGAGATTACATCCATTTTGCGCACTAATACCGGTATCGAAGCTAGAACATTGTCCAGCTTACGATTCACCTCGAGTAACGTCCCAGTCTGAGAAGTCTCCACACGGACGGTGCTTTCCGTGGGTGCGGGTCGCCCTCCAATCGCTCCCGTCTTCCCAAATTTCCAGAAAACCAGATATCCTCCCACTCCAATCAGGGGAAATCCAGTGATCATCAGACCAAATATCCACACGTCTTCGATGTCCTCAATGGACAGCTGGCTGAGGCATATGATCTTCCACTCCTTACGGCAAACCTGGGCATTTGACTGTGACCGGCCCGCGTAAGATTAATTGGAAATTACAAAATAAATGTATTTTCTCATTTTACCTCATGCATGGACTAAGGCTGCATTGCTTTTATTTTGAAGTTGTTTTTTACGTGCACAATGACGCAATACGTATAGCAACAAGTGCCCGCGGTTGACATGGTGATTGTAGCCCCCAGAAATGTCCGCTCATGCAAAAAAAAAAAAAAAGAAAGATAGATGCCGAATGCAGGATTTTCAACAAAAATTGGACTGCTAAGTTTTTTTTGTACTGAAGTCGGAGGTAAAGCCGTGTGTTTGGTTTGCGGGGAGGAGATTGCCGTGTTTAAGGACTACAATTTGAGTCGGCATTACGACAAGAAACACTCGGAAAAATACAAGAACTTGTCTGATGCTGAGAGGGCACGGACATCCGAAGCTTTGCTAGCAAAGTTGCAAAAGCAGCAAGGCTTTTTTACTAAGCTTCACACATCCAGGGATGCAGCAACCAGGACCAGCTTTGTGATATCCCACAAAATAGCTAAAAACAGCAAGCCGTTTTCGGAGGGACAGTTTGTCAAAGAGTGCATGGTGGACTCTGCTTGGGACAAGAAACATACTCCAGAGTGCTCATGTTTCACCTCACCTCATTGCACATGAATGTGTCAAAGAAAAAAGAAGATGGCAGCAAGCAAGCAAAAACCAAGCATGGTAAACACAAGCGGCTCCATTGTCATTATGGTTTATCGTGTCCTGTTTGTCATTGTGTCATTGTAATAGTACAGGGTATCTGCAGGTTTAAGGGAGCCAAATTTAAGACTTTTAAAGACCTTTTTTAAGGCCATTTTGACCAAATTTAAGCAATTTTTAAAAATTAAATTTAAGCTATAATTTCCAGCTATTGCCTGGAACGTCGCGAACGTGGGATTAGCCATCCAGTTACCATTAAACTTGCACTTCCCCATGGCGCAAGCTCCCACTAGCTTAACCAGCTAACGCGCTCATCTAAAAATAGCCCCCTTTCACAACCAACTGAATGTGTACGGTTCCACTTACGCCAACATCATACACAAAAAATGCTGAACACTAACTAGAAATTTATGAAAATTTTATAGAAATAAAAGAATCTTGTTTATTGAGTCTTTTAAGGATTATTTGTAATTTTTAAGGATTTTTAAGGCCTTAAATTTGGAAAAGCAAATTTAAGACTTATTAAGACTTTTTAAGGACCCGCGGATACCCTGTAGTATGACACCACGGCCCACTTTTAGGTCCCCCCCCCCCCCCCCCCAGTAAGAGTGTAACTGGCGATGGAAATGCTCTTCTAAATATGATGAACCATAAATTTGCCTGCGCCCTTCCACTCAGTGGACACAAGACATATCTCGCCTACTAACGTTCAAGATTCCGGAGGTTCTCCGAGGCCAGCAGTGAGACGTAATCTCTATTACGTAAACTATTTATATCGATTAAAAGAAGATTAGAAGCATGAAACGTATCATACTATGCATTCGTTTTCTGTGAACAATTTGTGGTTAATCATAAGTTAACCCTGGAACTTGTAACTGGAATAAAAAGATGTACCAATTCACAGCCAAAAATATAAAAAATATACTAACCGGTTTAATGACACCTTACCGTAGAGTTTTAAGGACACATTTGGTGCTCTTCAGTCCATCAGACAGAAGCTTCACTCCTTCATCCTGAAGGTCATTGTTACTCAGGTCCAGGTCTCTGAGACTAGCAGAACTGGACTTTAGAACCGAGGACAGGAGCTCACAGCTTTGTTCTGAGAGGTTACAAACACTTAACCTGAAAAGAAAGCAAATAGGAGTAAGAATTTCCCTTTTTCACCTACTGAATGTTCACAACATGAAGGCTAAATCCAACTAGCAGCGTACTTACAGAACTTTGTTGGATGTTTGAACAACCGGTAGCAACTTCAAAAGAGCTTTCTCTGAATTAGAATATTTCTTCAGGTCAAACACATCCAAATCTTTAACAGATGACAACAGGATGAAGACTAGAGCTGACCACTGAGCAGGAGACATTTGATCTGTGGAGAGACTTCCTGAACTGAGTGACTGCTGGATCTCCTCCACCAGAGAACAGTCATTGACTTCACCCAGACAATGGAACAGGTTGATGAGTTTGTCAGCAGTCAAGTTCCCACCAATCTTATCCTTGAGGTACTGGACGGTCTCCTGATTGGTCTGTTGCCAACTTTCTTTCTGCGTCAGGAGGCCCTGTAGAAGAGTCTGATTGGTCCCCAGGGAAAGACCCAAGAAGAAGCGGAGGAACAAGTCCAGGTGTCCATTAGAACTCTGTAAGGCCTTTTCTATTGCCCTCTGGTAAAAGTGTATCTCGGCATCTTTGCTTGTTCTTGTTTTAGACTCGTGGAAAGTTGTTTGTTGTTCTTCAAGCAGATTGACTTGGGAGTCACTGAAGGTCAGATGGGCGTGAAGAGCTGCCAGAAACTCCTGAACACTCAGATGAACAAAGAAGAAGACCTTGTCCTGGTACAGTCCTCTCTCTTCTTTAAAGATCTGTGTGAACACTCCTGAGCGAACCGACGCTGCACTGATATCGATGTCATACTTTACCAAGTCTGATTCATAGAAGATCAGTTTTCCTTTCTCCAGCTGATCAAAAGCCAGTTTCCCCAGAGATTCAATCATCTTCCTGCTCTCTGGACTCCAGTGTGGATCTGTCGCGGCTCCTCCATCATACTTGATCTTCTTGACTTTGGTCTGAACCACCAGGAAGTGGATGTACATCTCAGTCAGGGTATTGGGCAGCTCTTCTCCCTCTCTGGTCTCCATCATGTCCTCCAGAACTGTAGCGGTGATCCAGCAGAAGACTGGAATCCGACACATGATGTGGAGGCTTTGTGATGACTTAATGTGGGAAATCACCTTCTTGGACTGCTTTTCATCTCTGAACTTCTTCCTGAAGTACTCCTCCTTCTGTGGGTCAGTGAACCCTCTGACCTCTGTCACCATGCCAACACACTCAGGAGGGATCTGATTGGCTGCTGCAGGTCTTGTGGTGATCCAGAGGTGAGCAGAGGGAAGCAGGTTCCCCTTGATGAGGCTTGTCAGCAGAACATCCACTGAGGTGGACTCTCTAACATCACTCAGAACCAAATTCTTGGTGAAGTCCAGAGGAAGTCGACACTCATCCAGACCATCAAAGATAAAAACAACCTGGAACTCTTCAAAGCTCCAGATTTCTTTGGTTTCAGTAAAGAAGTGATGAACAAGTTCCACCAAGCTGAACTTCTTCTCCTTCAGCAGGTTCAGCTCTCTGAAGGTGAACGGAAACAGGAAGTGGATGTTCTGGTTGGCTTTGTCTTCAGCCCAGTCCAGAGTGAACTTCTGTGTTAGGACTGTTTTCCCGATGCCAGCCACTCCCATCGTCATCACTGTTCTGATTGGTTCATGTCTTCCTGGTGGGAGTTTAAAGATGTCTTCTTGTCTGATTGTTGTTTCTGGTCTGGCTGCTTTTCTGGATGCTGTTTCAATCTGTCTGACCTCATGTTCATCACTGACCGCTCCAGTCCCTCCCTCTGTGATGTAGAGCTCCGTGTAGATCTGATTCAATGGGGTCGGCTTTCCTGCTTTAGCGATCCCCTCAAACAAATGCTGAAACTTATTCTTCATTTTAGTTTTGAGTTTATTCTTGCAAGTTACCGGAGATTCTAAAAAATACAAAACAGAAATTAATGACCAGCTTCACATTTAGGTCTTACAGTTGCCCTCTAATAAAAAAAAAAACGAGATGTTACTGTCTCTAAAACTTTATAGTCTGAAATTCTTCTTGCTTGCATTACTAGCAATGTAGAGAGGGCTTTTTCATGCTAAATATTCAGAGGAATCCACCTACTGCTCAGCAGACGGTCAGCCAGCTCCTCTTGTTTCATTCTTTTCAAGAAGTCCACAGCGATGGTCACAAACGCTTCTCTGTTGCGTCTCTGCTGTTCTTTATCTACACCCTCCAGCAGCTCTCCATCATCCCTCTGACTCTCTAAATCTTCTTGGTAGTCTGGACTCAGAACCCTTTGTATCTTCTGCAGTTCCTTACTCATAAAAGTGTTAATGTTGTCCTTCAGATCCTGAAATAAAATGCATTAATGGTGGTGCAACTGATGAAACCAGACAGACTGACGTGGAACACAGACAATCCACTGGTTTACAAAGTGCATCATCAAAATTATGCAAACAAGAAAAGAAGTAAAAGAAGTTTTGATAAATGCACGAACCTTAAATATGGAATCCAGTCCAGCTGGATTCTTCTGGGTAGACTGATCACCAAGACCTTCTGTGCTTCTGTTGCAATAATCAATAAATAATTAATAGCATGATGACTTGAAATAGGCTTGATAATATCCATTTGCATGTTGGTTCGTTTTCCTCATTATCTCTCTCTAACAATTAAAGAGAATGGATGACTGTTGGAATTTCCAAGGAGAAAGCGAACGCACCATTAGCTATATAAACAAAACCTAAACTATCAAGCTAACTGTCACGATGGTTGACTGGGTACGGGAGTTGAGCTTGGTAAAGATGTTTGATATCTGGATTATTCGGTAGAGAACTCTGATCAGGGGTTTCAATGAAACGATGACCGAGTGAAGAGCCGGTGCGGCGTCTTCCATATTTAGGCTTGGGTGTGACTGGGAGAATGCCGGGAGTTCCCGCGAGGAGCATGCTGGGAAATGTGGTCCAAGATGGAGGCCGGTTAGCTGGGAGAGGCCGGTCTGGGGGCTTGGGTTCTGACACTAACGTTATCTTAAACAGTTTATTTTGCTGCTGGCGCAGATTAAGATGCCTCATCCTCAGATCATTGTCGCTGGTTTCATCATCGCCCAACAGCCCGTCGCATTCAGTGAAGTGAAGCCAAACTTTAGAGCGCGTTCGCTTTCTTCTAGTCAGAATTTCGGAGTTCAGAGGAGAAAGCGAACGCACCATTAGCTATGTAAACAAGACCTAAACTATCAAGCTAACGTTATCCTAAACATTTTATTTACCTACCGAAGCAGATTAACGTCTCTTTCTGGAGTATTTCTCTCATCCCATGGCACCATCTAGTGGCTGACAAGCATATTACAAAAAAAAGTCTGTCGCTCAGTTTTTTTAAGATGGTGTCTTCACGTTTCTTGTTTATGAATGTGCTTCTGTAGCCGACAAACAGAGCTAGAACACGCTGTTTTACAAGCATTTTTCTCGTGCTATGTTGTGTTTTCATATATTTATATTTTAAAGAATTTCTTGTCCGTTAAAAGTTCATCAACTCTGAATCAGCTGAGGTGTTCCTTAAATTTGAAGCATCTAATGGGCCATTCCCATCTGTACCGGGTCGGCCCGGGCCAGGTAGCGTAGGTTGTTTACATATCTGGGTGGCCTGGTATTTTTCCGGGCCAACCAAGGCTCATTCTCAGCCCTCTTCTCGAGGGGGTCTGCTTCAGGCCGACCAGGGCCAACACACCCACTGCTGACAGCAAATTCACACCTTCCATTAGAGCAAGCCTCTGATTGGTGGGTGGAATCAGCCCACATGGGCTTAAGGCAAGGATGTGTGGAATCAACCGGGCCAGGCTGGGGCCGACTGGGGCTACCTGGCCCGGGCCGACCCGGTACAGATGGGAATGGCCCATAAGCGGTAGTCTAACGCTATTGGTTAGTTCTGGTCGGCGCTCAGTTTCCTAATGCACGGAGCTCTGCGGGGCAGGGGGCGTGCTTAGCAAAACAAAAAAAAGGAAAGAAAAAACAGACATATTGCTTACATTATATCAAGTACATGATAAAATAATCACTTTTATGCATTTCTGACAAATCATACATCATTTCTGAAAGTAGAAAACTCCAGAAAGCTACGTTAAGATGGTGATGCCTCACTTAGACCGTTGTTGCTGGTTTCATCATCATCCAGTTACCCGTCCCATTTAGTGAAGTGGACCCCAACCTCAGAGTGCTTCCTCTCTGTCTTGCTGCTTTGTTAACAGCTCGTCCACAGTGACTGACGACATCACGCTCTTGCGCCGGTGTCGGTACAGGATCTGCTCGGGTGCAAGATCGTCTCAGGGTTCTTCGACTGCCGATGACGTCAAAGTACGGCAAACCCACTCGGACAAAATACACTACACATCTATACTGTTGGAAAGAATTTAGTAGTTTCGTTATTAAAATAATGTTTCTAACGACGTAAGTTTGTGTTTATAATGGTATTTGTAAAATAAAACACTATATTGTATTCATAATGTTGAACTCCTCTTTGAGCACATCCCTTGAAGGATCATAGGTATTAGCAACACCTGTGAAATTGTATTTGCAGGAAAGAAGTGTGTCCCATTTATTGAAGTATTTTGTGTTTAGAGTTTTTGACGTCTTGTCCATGCGTAGTTCAGTTACGCTCATAGCTGCTAGCCAAAACTCTGGAGTTAAAAGTTTTCTGGCTTTACTAAAATACCTGTCTGTGCTTATTTGATTGATGGTGGTTTTACAGTGGGGCAAAAATGTATTTAGTCAGCCACCGATTGTGCAAGTTCTCCCACTTAAAATGATGACAGAGGTCAGTAATTTTCATCATAGGTACACTTCAACTGTGAGAGACAGAATGTGAAAAAAAATCCATGAATTCACATGGCAAGATTTTTAAAGAATTTATTTGTAAATCAGGGTGGAAAATAAGTATTTGGTCAATAACAAAAATTCAACTCAATACTTTGTAACATAACCTATGTTGGCAATAACAGAGGTCAAACGATTACTATAGGTCTTTACCAGGTTTGCACACACAGTAGATGGTATTTTGGCCCATTCCTCCATGCAGATTTTCGAGAGCAGTGATGTTTTGGGGCTGTCGCCGAGCAACACGGACTTTCACTCCCTCCACAGATTTTCTATGGGGTTGAGGTCTGGAGACTGGCTAAGCCACTCCAGGACTTTCAAATGCTTCTTACGGAGCCACCCCTTTGTTGCCCGGGCGGTGTGTTTGGGATCATTGTCGTGTTGGAAGACCCAGCCACGTTTCATCTTCAAAGCTCTCACTGATGGAAGGAGGTTTTGGCTCAGAATCTCACGATACATGGCCCCATTCATTCTGTCCTTAAAACGGATCAGTCGTCCTGTCCCCTTAGCAGAAAAACAGCCCCAAAGCATGATGTTCCCACCCCCATGCTTCACAGTAGGTATGGTGTTCTTGGGATGCAACTCAGTATTCTTCTTCCTCCAAACACGACGAGTTGAGTTTATACCAAAAAATTCTACTTTGGTCTCATCTGACCACATGACATTCTCCCAATCCTCTGCTGTATCATCCATGTGCTCTCTGGCAAACTTCAAACGGGCCTTGACATGCACTGGCTTCAGCAGCGGAACACGTCTGGCACTGCACGATTTGATTCCCTGCCGTTGTAGTGTGTTACTGATGGTGACCTTTGTTACTGTGGTCCCAGCTCTCTGCAGGTCATTCACCAGGTCCCCCCGTGTGGTTCTGGGATTCTTGCTCACCGTTCTCATGATCATTTTGACCCCACGGGATGAGATCTTAAGTGGAGCCCCAGATCTAGGGAGATTATCAGTGGTCTTGTATGTCTTCCATTTTCTGATAATTGGTCCCACAGTTGACTTTTTCACACCAAGCTGCTTGCCTATTGTAGATTCACTCTTCCCAGTCTGGTGCAGGTCTACAATTCTTTTCCTGGTGTCCTTCGAAAGCTCTTTGGTCTTGAACATAGTGGAGTTTGGAGTCTGACTGTTTGAGGCTGTGGACAGGTGTCTTTTATACAGATAATGAGTTCAAACAGGTGCCATTAATACAGGTAACGAGTGGAGGACAGAAAAGCTTCTTAAATAAGACATTACAGGCCTGTGAGAGCCAGAGATTTTCCTTGTTTGAAGTGACCAAATACTTATTTTCCACCCTGATTTACAAATAAATTCTTTAAAAATCCTGCCATGTGAATTCATGGATTTTTTTTCACATTCTGTCTCTCACAGTTGAAGTGTACCTATGATGTAAATTACTGACCTCTGTCATCATTTTAAGTGGGAGAACTTGCACAATCGGTGGCTGACTAAATACTTTTTTGCCCCACTGTACTTTCTATTAGACTCCAAATGTAATCATTTGGCACGTTTCTAATTCATAATTTGTAAGAATGTTATCGGTTAGCATTAGCATAAGCATTCCTATGGATTTTTCCACGTATATTAGCATTGCGCTAACCACTTGCTGCCAAATTGCAGCCTTTGCGATTAGAAAATCTCCTTTTGTCACATCGCAATTTAATTGCACATGCAGTCAATCGTTCAGCCCTAATATACATGCAGCTCTATGCTAAAAGTGTATTTTCAAAGAGGTAATGATGGATTTCTTTGTAAAAGTTGTCCATCTTTCCAACAGATAAATTTGCCTGGACCAACGTAACGTGATTACGCAATTTCCGTAAGGTTCATGTTCAGCCAATCAACTACTTTGACGTCATCGGTAGTCAAAGGACCCCGAGCCGATCTTGCACCCGAGCAGATCCTGTACCGACACTGGCGTGCGGCACGGATACCGAAAAAAGGCACCGTTTCATATGACGTGAATCGGTACTCAGTCGGTAGTATGGAATTCGGTCGGTGCCTTAAAAAGTACCAAATTCGGTACCCATCCCTACTCTCACGTCAGTTACTTGCAGCACGTGGTCTCACCACAGAGTAGTTCAAAAGCACGGGAATCAGCAAACAGAAAAGGACTAAATGGTGTGTACTCACAGACTGTAGTTTGCCGAATCACTGAGATGGTGCCCTTTAGTATCGTAAAAAAGCCAATGTTTCGTTTATTAGAGTCCTAACTTCATGTGGCAGTTTTGCGCAAATTTTCATGGGTAATTTTTGTTTGCAGAGACTTTGTGCTTTCTTTTCTTTTCTTTTTTTTTGGAGGGGGGGCATTTATTTTGGATATTTAAAACTTCCAGTTCCAGTGGAAATGTTCTTCAATGTACTTTCATGATCAACTTTTAGCATAGTCTCAGTTGAAAATGTTTGCAAAACAGAAATAGTGTCATTTGTCGCAATTATTTTTGAGATAATTTCAGGTCTAGCTAAATCTGTCATTGTGACAGACCAAATTCCACTGGCTGATTCAACTGAGCAATCACAAAAAATTAACTTGTTTAAAGAGCAAGTCACCCCCAAATAAACTTTTTTTTTTTGCTGATAAACTAAATAAACGAGTGTCTAATCGTGCTGCAGACACGTGTAGTCAATAATTTGGCACTTCAGTGCATCTTAGTTAAAATTTAAATATTCTGCCTAAAACTGGCAGTGTTGTGCCGTTGTCAGGTAAAAACTCTGCACTGTATTTTAATTTAAATCTGCCAACGCTATTGGCTAAGAGGTACACTATGATGTAAACTGGTACATTATGATGTCACAATGCTGTTGTGAGCCTGTGTGTGTGTATTTGTTAGCAGCTCCGCCTTCTCGGTCTGCCAGGCAACAGCATTTGTTGCATTTTTCAAACATGAAGTGGGAGTGGAGTTAGACTCTGGTAGGGGTTGACTTGCTCTTTAATCAGTGATTTATTCATGTAAGTAATTGTTTGGACGAAAGTGCTGGTGGTCCCCACAAGAAGGGGGCAACCGCAACATCAGCAACAAAAATCCTTCTGATTTGTTTATTTATTTATTTGTTTGCCCGTGAGTTAGTTCTTTCGAGAGGGACTGCACACCATCAGAAAATGTAACACCGCCCCTAGTTAAGGTTAGAAAAATGCCATAAAAGTGGGCGTTGCCAGGAGGCACGAGTGGCATGGCCAAGTTTGGGGAATTTCCATCCTGGGAGGGAGGAGGAGTGGGAGGAGACTGTACCGATGACATGAAATTGTCCTAGCCCCAGTCAATCACAAGTTTAAAATGCAGTAGCCACTGTTCTGCCACAGGGGGCAGCACTGAGGCGTTTTTAGACCTAGATTCTAGATGTAATCAAGTTTACACAAACATGTCAAAAATGCACAGAAACAGAAAGATTGCGTTTGTAAAGACCCATTTATACAGTCAATTATCAAAAACGTGTTATTTTTGGGTTTACTCTTTTGACAGATATTTTACATGTTATGCACAAGCACATCGCGGAGGTAACAATCCAGAAAACATCTCCGTCAGCGCATCTGAGCATTATCTCACCCTTTCTCCGCCTCTGGCTGCTGACAGTACGCACAAGCTCGTTCACATGCAAACATGAGCAAGAATCCTAAGAGCAAAGATGTTCCGATGATACCAGAAATGAGGAAAAAGCTCCAACTGACTGAGATTAAACAGAAAACGATTCTCTAACATCATCCAGCCTCCGCTGGAGACCGAGAAACACTTACTGTTGGTCACTGGGAACAATTAGTTTAAAGGCAATGGGAGGATCCTTAGACTGGTCGCTCTTAAAGGACACACAGCTGGGTTCTGATCCAGGTTCTGGTCCAGGTCTTCTCCTGTGAATAATGATGTGGTGATGTGAGCTCTAACACGGTGAAGAGTGGTGGACAGTTAGAGATGATCACCTGACCTCTGAGCTTCACTCTGGCTCTCATGTTCTCTGGGAGGGACTCCCTCCTCTCTGTCCCCACACTGATCCATGCTGCTGAAGTCACACCAGCTCACACACACCTTACACCTTCATCTGCAGAGGAAACACGAATCATTCGTCTGCACATCACTGCAAAACCATGAGATCTTCCTCTGACTCATAACTTTCTTTAGAGTGGAACAGAAAACGTGTTGTAGGACACGTTTTTGAGTCCGACTAAACCAGAAAGGTGCGGACCTTTTGAACCCCTCTGCAGTGAATCAGATGGGTACTTTGAAAACTTTTAGTAAATAAAGACTAGTCTCATAAAACATAACTAAACAAAGTCAGCATCACTAAGAGCAGCCAGATCTTGTTGTTGCCAACGATGAACTCAAATTTCATTTCAAGACCATGAAAAAAGAAATCAACCAGATTCTAGAGTCCTGATGCTTCTGAAGACCTGTCGATGACTCGAATCTGCAAAGATTTACAGATTTAAACTGTTGGTATCGTAAAAACTCATCCGTCTACTTTCGCAAACGTCACCTCAGGTCACCTCATGTCAAGTTTACTCACCAGCTAGTCTGGAGTCTTGAGCACAAATTTACATAAATAAATAATTTAGCTTTGTATGAAATCCAGTAATATTTTAGCAAATGGTTTCATTTCTAGTCAGGCTTTATTTAACAAGAAGAATTTATAACAACATATTTTTTTAATTAGAAGAGTTAACGATTAAACCCTGTTGCCTCTTTGCTCTAATATTTTATTCTGTTCTAGTTTTATTGTTGAGCATTAAAGGAGATGTCGACGTTATTAAAGGGACTTTACGGAGTTTTGAACTTTTATGCTCGCAATTGCCCCCTCAGGCCAAAAGCGTAATGGCAGCTTCAATAGGAGGCTCGTGCACGAGGCGCGCATGCTGTACGTGCACACTCCTTAATGAAAATAACAGCTGAGACAGTCCCTTGTGTGTGTGTGTGTGTGTGTGTGTGTGTGTGTGTGTGTGTGTGTGTGTGTGTGTGTGTGTGTGTGTGTGTGTAGCCTGGAGGACAGAGGACAGGAGAACGTGCAGGTAATTAATTAAATAATTTGGTTCTGTACCTTTCTCTTCAGCACAGCCGACAAAGGTTTATGATGGGTCAGTCCTCCTGCATGCTCAGATCATTCCCTTCCCTTGCTTGAAAAATTGTTCCAAAATGAAAGTTGAACCCACATCTTTTTTATCTGTGAATTCAATGCCGTTCGGCGAGTCTCAAATAAAAATTTGGGCATCTTACTGTAAAAAAATATACCATTAATAAAAAAAAAGAAACTCTAAATGAACTATGTTCACATCCAGAATCAAACCCAGGTCTTCTGCACGAGAGTCCGACATCTTACTAGATGAGCTATAGCGCCAGTGACGTCTTTTGTTTCTGTAACTTTTATATCCTTGATGACAGCTGACACAACGTTCAAACGGTTCGGAGTGAAAATGGCTATTTTGTTGCTAATTTGCAGGAAATATCTAGAAGAAAGTTCTACAGAAAGTGGCTAAGGGTCCTCAGAAATGTAGCTAGCTTTGTCACTAGGCGTTAGGAACAGCGACAAAGTGGCACTGCCTCTCTCTACTGCTAAAGCTATGGATAGCAAATGCTACGGGCTATGCCTGAGCGTGAACGCGCATGAAGCAGCCTGCTCGACCCGAGCTCTCTTTTTCTGTGATTTTACAGAAAAACAGGCAATCACGGTAAAAATGCCAGGGCTCATTCTACAGGACCAGGGCATTGCAGGAGAATGTATGAAGAAGACATTTATTATTTCTATACATGTTTTGGCTGTCAAACTTCCATAATGCCCCTTAAATTATTCAACTTTGAACATTAGATTTGCAGTTACAGCTATATGGTTGATTTATGAGCTCTTTCTCGACAATTGTGGTGTGTGTGTGTGTGTTGTGAGGTACTTGGGGGGGGGGAAACAGCAGTAAGTTTTATGTTTTTATTGAATTTAGTCTTGTTTTTCTCCTCATACAGCAAATGTTCTACATGATGTAGCAGATGGTAATAAACCAAAAGCATTATGGCCACCCCTGACTGCTTTACACTAAATGCTGCTAGAAAGATAAAGTAGTCTATATATATATATATATATATATATATATATATATATATATATATATATATATATATATATATATTCGAGCATGTAGTTTATATTTTCTAATGTAACTTTGCTGCTTTTAACAGCTACCTGTAGAACAGAAATTATTTATTTTTTGATTACATAAGGCAATGAAACATCTTGAGTTGTCTCTCTAAATGTATGAGTGTATTTAGAGGTTGCCTGCTCATGTCAAACTTTACAAATATTTTTGAAGGACCATCAGAACAGATAAAACAAACTTAGCATCTAGATTAGTCTCTATTTGCATTGAATCACGGAGATAATTTCCACATTTTAGCTGTTCTTTACCATGACTTCCTTGAAAATTAGATTTTAGCATCTCAATGTGATTATTGGTTCTAAAATAAAAAATTCGTTGTAAATAAAGTAAAATCAGAGACCATTTTAGCTAAAAATGTGCTTTTAGAACTAGAGGTAAGGTAAAGAGGAATACGTGTGAGCAGCGCCCCCTGCTGGAGGGAGACAATACTACTGGGATTATTTTGACGCACTTGCTGTAGTTTTTTTTTAGGGATTTTTGCTGGTAAAAACAGGACTTTAAAGCATATTCATTAGAGGAAAGCATGAATATGCTGCTGTGGAGATTTAGTGACGCAAATGCAAATGTCTGACACTTTAAAGTAACTGAACCTTATGATCATATAATAAAACTTCTCTCTGACTTCCAGCAGCGTTATAACTAAGAACTGCGTGTTTTAATTTAAAAGGAAGCTTAAATGGTTTTTTATCGCGTTTATTACAGAACATAACATGAATACCTACCTTTCTCATCCAGGAGGACATAAAGGTTACCTCCAGCTATGTATCAACTTGCACTGAAACTCGCGTTTTGAGCCGCAAATATCACCTGTTTCCTCTTGGAAGGCTCAGAGAACTAAATTTAAAACTGTCAAGTTGACCTGAGCTGGACTTTGGCTCCAACAAATTGTCTGCATCATGGCTACAGAAAGTGAAAGGTAATAAATAAAGAAAAACTAGCTAATTTCAAGTTCCAAGTACTTTCTGGTGATTACTACAGTTAAATAATACAAGTAAAATACAATCAATAAGTTAAAAAAGAACAATTACTCACCGCTGTTACTTTTGAGACATTATTTCCTTTGAGGGAATGCTGAGAAGTTAGGTGTTTTGTCGGTATGAGTCCCCGTGCCATTTGGGTTTCCTCTTCCACGCAAACAACGCGCATGCTCTGTAAAAGCTCGTTCCCGGTGCCGCAGGACGTTGTGGCCATAGACACAACTACAGTAGGCGTCATATACGTATTTATATCTGAGTACCAGTGTTTATATACATATGAGTACCACTGCTGCTTTATTTGATGTTTGAGCTTTCACCGTTGCCGTAGTTTGCCTGTGGAGCGGTGGAGCGGGTGGTACGAGAGCGCGCCGGTATCGAGCTCGTACTGAGCATGCGCGTTGATTTGGTGAGGGGCGTAGCCTTATTAGATAATGTGGGCGTAGCGGCGTGTTATGTCGAAATATGTTTCCCTACGACAAACTGTTTCTCCTCGTTTTCTCGCTGTAACACTGTTACTCAAAGCAGCCTACATAACAAAATCACAGATTTGTCAAAATAAACACAACTGACTTGTAATTTACGTACATATCATAGTTGTATTATTTTAAGGGGGAACTCTTAAGGTCCGAGGACCTGGGGGAACTCTTCTCAACATAACACCGGCTTTCATGGCTTCCGCTAGCTTCATCGGTTTAAAAGCAAGTGGTCGTGTAGATGTCAGATAAAGTCATCAGACGTCCAGGGGTTGGTGTCGGGGTGCTGGTGACAGACTCTGCCCACCCAGGATGTGTTCTCCTGGGGAAACGGAGAAGTCCAGTGGGCAGGGGCACACACCAGCTATCCGGTGGGCACCTGGAGTTCGGGTATGCGTATAGGCTACGCTAGCAGTGTTCATTCATAAATCTAGCACAGAAAATGAGTAAACCTTTCATTTATGGATGCCGATCAGCTCACAAAGTGTCCTTCTCAAAATACATAACTTTGGGTTCATATTTTTATAGTTATAAGTTAAATAAATGTTTTCAAATAGAAATTAACTATATTTTTATGGAGTTTGGTGTAAAGGGTAAAGCTAAGGAAGTAAAGGTGATGCCTGAATGAACAATATGTCTCTGATTTCTGTCTCACTGACAGGGAAACCTGGGAAGAATGTGCTCATAGAGAAGTGCTGGAGGAAGCTGGGGTGCACCTGGTGAATGTTCACTTTGCTTCAGTGGTGAACTCCATCAAGGTGCAGGATCAGTATCACTATGTTACCATCATCATGCAAGGAGAACTGGACAGGAGGCGGTCTGGAGAACCTGAAAACCTGGAGCCAGAAAAGAACGAAGGTACAAAAGGTGGAAATTGTGTATTTTCTTTTGAGGCAAGTAGGTTTGTTTGGCTGAGCTGATGGGGAGCACGTCCTTTTCTCCACAGGATGGACATGGACTTGTTGGGAGGAGTTTCCTCCAGAGCAGCAGCTCTTCCTGCCACTGGCTGGGTTGAGACAACAAGGCTTCCAGCCGTTCAGGAACACAGAAACGTGACATTTCCTGTTGTGTTTTTGTCCTAATTGCAACTGTTCCCAACAACGAGCAATTTACCTTAAACATCTTCTTACTGGTTGTAGAATAACCTGTAATCTATTTTTTTCCTGTTTCAGAATTTGTTTTTTATTTAATTGTGACAGTTTGAGACATTCACAACACTAGCAGAACTTTTATTCAAATGTCATTAAATCAATATAGTGAATCAGATGTAGATCAGCTCCAAGAGTAGATATTTAAAAAATATATTTGTAATTAAATTAGTCATTTTTAACAGAAAAGCATCAGTTTCTGCTTGAAGCTCCATAAGCATTATTTTCTTCAAAGTCATCCAATAAAATGCTTCTCACTAAAAATCAAAGTGAACCTCATTTTGGACAAATAAACAAATTCTACTCAGATTGACAGGCTAACGGTTAGTCATACTCGGGCCAGTTTGGAGGTGGGCTCACGCCATCTTAAATAATACAAAGTACTTCATGCTAATTGTGAAAAAACCTCCAATTATCAGCAATTTAGAATCACATGATTACTTCTGCCTAAATATTATGGACTAGCTAGCTTGGTTGCTAACACTTAACAAGTTTTTATTTTTAACCATTTAATCTAATCAAAATATCGAGATCAGTTATGTTAAGAAGGCGGTAAACATAGCACTTAGCTTGCCCAATTTACTATTTATTTAAAAAGCAACAGCGGGTACCAAAACAATAATTTGTATGAGCTAATCTCTGTTTCTCTAATCTGAGGTTGTTGATCTACAACAAATAAAATATTAGTTATTAATTATCTTTCCAGATGATTTCACTGCTAAATGTTTCAACCATCCCTTATAAATCTCAGATAAACATTTCTACTAGTTTATTTATGAAATCTAAATAAGTTAGAGCTGCAAATATTTGATTTATTATTTATACTTTGCCATATCTCTTAAAGTGTATATATTTTTTTCTATCTGAACTTTTTTAAAAGTCACAAATAAACAAATTATTTTAAGTGGTCACATCTCACATGGTGACTCTGGTGACCCCCACAGCTAGCAGCATGCTCCACAGTGTAGCCCCAGTAACCGCTATGGCACCATTAAAGGTCTTGTCGTGGGTGTAAGTGATGATGTGCAGAGCGCCGCTGTAGGCCTCCTCGCAGGTCGGCTGGATCTGGTCCTCAGGAAGCAGGAAGCCGAGTGTCCCATTATCCCTCAGCTCAAAGGTGTAGGTCATAGGGATGCCCTGGATTCGGGCCCAGTCCCTGGATGAACCAGAGTTGGGGTCTAGAGGGGCATATTAGTACGTAAAGGTTCATGCAAACCTAATAATGCATTGTTGCTAATTGGTTATTTCCACATACATAAAATGTCCGGGGATGATCCCACTCTGTAGATTTGTCCGTGGACCTTCCGAATGGCTTCAGCTGCTCCCTGTCCTACTTCCATCTGAGGGATCAGAAAACAGCCTTTGTCAGATAATCCTTAAAACAAGCACCGTAATTTCAGATGCCCATCATTTAAAACAAACACTGAAGGGCCGGCCCCAATCTAAGGTCAATACTTTAAATACTTTCAGTTCCGTTACACCAAAAATGTTAAGCCTCAACAGCGGCATCTGGCACCACTGGGTGCAAACGCAAGGATACCATAGTTACTAAAGTAACTAAGGTATTTTAAAAGGGATTTATCAGTAATCAGATTACTTTTGAAAGATCACAGTGGCAACTGTTTAGGAATCACACGACTAACGCACAATATAATTGACTAAATTTAATGCTGAATTTCCTTTATATTATACACTTTTATATGTCTTTAATCCAACTGCTTTTGTTGGCGTCTCAAAAGCAAAATTACCTTTTAAACCGTAAAAGTACACGCTCAGCAAAGTGTCTTTAAATGCAATACCACCTGTGGCCAGTAGATGGTGATTTGAAACACTGAAACGTGTCAGTTTCTCTCCTAAGAAAACGGAATACTTTTTGCTACTAGTTTTAGATTTACTCATGATTTACTCCTTATCAATGTTTACATTATTCTAATTTCATAATTTAAAAAGTCTGAATGTTTTAAGAGAGTTTATTTGTTTTTGTCTCCTAGTTTGTTCAAGCCCAGAAAAACTGAAGTGGTCCTATTTTGCCCACAGTATTTGACCCTGGATGAACTTTAGTAGATGATTAAAGGTGCAGTATGTAAGAAAATGACGTCATTTTTACTTCATTTCTACATAATGCACCTTTAACTGTGTGAGCCTTGCTCCTGCCTACAGACTTGTTCTCGTTTGGTCTTATCAATGATTGTTAGCTTCTTCTTGCTTCTTGTGGTCTACGTTTTGTCAACTTTTTTTTTTTATGCAGAAAATGTTTTTGTCTCAAAGAACACTGGACTTCCAGTGAACTATGAGTGTAGATAGTGTATCTTGGATGTAAATACCAGCTCATCGTAGTTGGAGGCAGTGAAGTTGGGGTTTCCAAAGGGAACTAGTAGTAACTGGCCGTAAGAGTGGATGGTGAGGAAACACAGGAAGTCGTCTATTCGAGTTCCCAAAAAGTACGTTACGGCCTGGGCCTCAGGTTCGGATATGGGCTGAGTTCCACAGTAGGTGGTTGCATTGCAGTCAAAGGATACTCCCACGGCTGTAAATGTGAAGAAGGTTGTTTACAGAAGTCACAAAGTGCTTATTATACAAAAGCAAACATAAAATGAACACCAATGTAACCTCAATTCAATACAGTTTATTTATATAGCGCCAAATGACGACAGAATCGTCTCAAGGCACTTCACTAAGTAAACATTCCAATACAGTTCTGTTCATTAAGCTAAACAGTAAAAGGTTTACTATTTAAGGAGGGCGATGGTGGCACAGGAGTTAAGTGCTAGCCCCGTAATCGGAAGGTTGCAGGTTCGAGCCCCGCTCAGTCTGTTGCTGTCGTTGTGTCCTTGGGCAAGACACTTAACCCATGTTGCCTGCTGGTGGTGGTCGGAGGGACTGGTGGCGCCAGTGCTCGGCAGCCTCGCCTCTGTCAGTGCACCCCAGGGCAGCTGTGGCTACATCGTAGCTCATCCCCACCAGTGTGTGAATGTGTGTGTGAATGGGTGAATGACTGATTGTGTTGTAAAGCGCCTTGAGGGGTTCCAGGACTCTAGACGGCGCTACATCAAATACAGGCCGTTTACCATATAAGGAACCCAGTAGATTGTATAGTAACACCCCTTCCCTTATCCCCTTCAAAAGCCTTTAGAGCACGGGCACCCAATCCTCGTCCTGCAGGGCCGGTAGGTTTTGTGTTTTTTCTGCTCCAACACACTTGATTCAGTAGTTGAATCACCTGCGCAGCAGCTCATCAGGCTCTGCAGAAGCCTGTTAATCACCTGCTGATTGAAATCAGGTGTTTTGAAGCAGGGTTAACTACAGCATGCTGGATACCGGCCCTCCAGGACCAGGACTGGGCACCCCTGCTTTAGGCAAAAAGGACTGAACTGGTAAAACAAAAGCATCAACACTCACTGCCCCAGTTAGAATCAAAGTTACGGTTGAGATCAACGCCGTAACATCCGCTTGAAGGTCCAGGTGACCTGTTCTTCCTCCACAGTCGAGTCTGAACAGATCAGAATGTTCAGTTAGTCAAAATTTATCAAACAGCCTCTTGACATTTCTTCAAATGGTAAAAAGCTCTTCTTACTTCCCCTACATCTTATGCCATAAAGAGATGGTTTTATACGATGGTGGAGCATCAGAGAATCATTTTCTTCAGTGATTAAGCAAATTTAATTGATTTACATAATAGCAAATCCTTTCATGTCCTGCTCATCTGTATCATTGGAACTCAAGATAATCCATCAAAACACAAGAACTAACGGTGTTGTCCTTCCAGGAGTAGACGTAGCCGTCGATGTTGAGCACCGGCGTGACATAGAAGTCCATGTTCCTCATCATCTCCTCCATTTTTGTGTCGGTTTTGTATGTTTGGAGAATCTGATTTGAAAGAACGAACACATTTCATCGGATTGAACTAATATGGGTTGCATATTTCCCTTCATCATAACTGACTCTTACTTTTTATGAGCGGTTCGTGGTCTCCTACCTGTTTGACAAAGTACTGACAAAAAGCTGGAGCGATCCATTCTCTGGCATGAATCCCACAGTCCATCCAGACAGCCTTCTTTTTTGTATCAGTTTTCAGGCCGATCTGGAAAAACAGTTTAAACCTGACTAAACATCAACAAAGACCATTGTGCAACTTTATGGTTTATGATTTGTTTTACCTTCAGCAGCTTAATTGTCCTCTTTTCATAAGTCTTCCCATAATCCACTATGGTCATGACATCGGGGTGATCCTTCTCCATTTGAGTCATCCAGTTACTGATCTGTAAGGTTCGTCATTGGACCGTTCAAAATAATGTGTGTGTGTGTGTGTGTGCGTGCGTGCGTGTGTGTGTGTGTGTGTGCGTGCGTGCGTGCATGCGTGCGTGCGTGCGTGTGTGTGTGTGTGATGCAACAATCAGGTTGTCTCACCTCTTCCATGGGATGGTATTTGAAGTAATCGTACTCCGCTCTGTTGTTCACAAAGATACTTTATTAATCCCAGAGGGAAATTAGAGTTTCAGTACACACAATTCAGAGATCAGACATACATGGGCAAGACACATGACAAGAATTGGTGACTGTGGTCATTCGCAACCCTGAGTCGCGCTACCTTAATAGAGATAAGAGGGTAACATGAGGATTGGTTCAGGTGGAGGGAAAAAAAGGCACTTCAGAGCTACCCTCCACCAGGAGGGCATCTTTGCTCTGCAAAAAAACACCTCAGACAGATATGCAACAGACTTCAGACAACACAACATAAGTGTCCACTAGGTGGGGTGGTGGGTTGGGATTATCCCCACTTCAGTTGCTGCAGCCACGATAAGCAGCGCATGTCACCTCAGTGTGGATAGGGGGAGGAGCATTGAGGGTTGGAGGGTTGCAGTGACCCTGGACGCTTCTGCGGCCTTCCCACAGTCCCGCCCAGGCTGGGAAAGGAGACAGAGTTGAGTTGCCATAGCGACGGCACATTCCACATATCTTCTGAGGGGGGAGTTGCAGGCTCAAGGTCGCCAGATTCCGGTTAGAAATTGTTTTGGGGCCAGACAGAGATAATTTCTTCTCTGTCTTAAAGTTTGTTGGTCCTCAACCTCTCAAAATCCCAACAATGGACATTAATCTATCCCAATCCGTGCTGATTCGTCCACTCTCTCCTTGATGGCATCCATCTTTTGTGCCAATGAATGAATCTCGGCCAAAGTCCCAAGCTTACGATTCATCTCGACAGTTATGTGAGTCTGTGAATTCACAGCGCGGTGCAAACCATCTCTGAGCTCCTGGATCAGGCCAATATTCCCCGACAGCTCGTTAATTTTCAGGTAAGCCTCCAAGGCCAATGAGCAGGTAACCTGACACCAACACCACCAATATCCACATGTCTTCAGAGTCCTCCACAGACAGCTGAGAAAGACAAATCAAGTTCCACTGTTTCCAGGAGTCCATGATGTGTCCAACTGGGTCTATCCCGGCGGGACATCCGGGAGCCCCTTCCACCGTTCTCATCGTTGAAAAAATTTTATCAATCGCGTTGAGAGACCAACTGACGAGATCCATTTTAGTGAATTCCAGTTTCCAGAAAAATGCAGACGCAGCCGTGCACCCAGCACACACAGACAGACAAAGGCCTTGAGGATACGATATGGAGGAGAGGAGGAAAAAAGCGTCTGCACCCTCCAAGAGCCATTAGATGTTCGTTTTCAAGAATGTAAGATCAAGAACATTAGCTCCAACTTGGAAAGTGCCTTTCCTGCTGTTAGGTAATTCCTTCTGAACACAGATTCCCATTAATCCACAACACAACTATTTCTAACACTAACACATAAGGTGGGAGTGAATGTGCTATTCCAGTGTGCTGGAAAAACACAGTCCTAGACACCAATAGTAAGGCAGGGTAGTTCCGGAAGGTAGCTAGAACAAGAACCCCAGGAAGTGGGTGGACCCTAAACTCCGCTGGTGGAGGATCTGAAGAAGAAGCAAGAAGCATCCTTTCTGACCCCTTTGTCAACAGGAACTCAGAGGGAGGAATCCCTGAAACTCCTAGGAACTGAAGCTCGGAGAGCGAACTCCCGCTGCAACCACTTGAGGAAATGGAGTTTGAATTTGGTATGTCTACCCCGATTGCATCCATGGCTAGAACAAGAAGAGATCATGGCAGCAGCTGTGATGTGGGCAGCGGTTGTTGCATCTGCCTGGAGATTCAGGTGTCTGGAGGACTACAGCGTTGCAGATGAGAAGGAGAACTTAAAATGTACAAAATCACGTGGATTGTAAAGATTGCAAAAAAGACAACTGATTTATCAAGAAACGTAGCAGTTTTTCTTTCTTTCTAAAACTCACCTTTCCACTGTTACTGCCCTCCCCGATGCAAGCAGAACCACAAAGCTGAGCCCAAAAAGTTTAAACATGGTCGACTTTATAAAAAACAAAATAGATAAATCTTAGTTTGCTGCTCTCAGCTCACCTGCTTGGACACTTTTGTCTCCACCGCAGAGCAATTACAGTATATGCGCTATCAGAATTTCAGTTAATGATTCATCTTTAGTGAGTCTTTATTACTTTACACATGTACTTTACACACACACACGTTTGTATTTCAGAGGGTAATTGTTACGGCTGTTTGATAAAAACTCTTGCACACACCTTTTTGTGTTATGGTCTTCATTTTAATACCCGTGCCTGGTCGTAACTAGCCTGGCCTGCCAGACTCGTCCTCAGTTTAATTCTGCACAGAGAAAGAGTCTGGTTACTCACAGACAGGGAGGCGCATGAGGGGCGGGACTAGCCAGCTCAAAAATAACCAAAAAGAGTTCTCAGACTCTTTCTCTGTGCAGAATTAAACAGAGGAGGAGTCTGGCAGGCCAGGCTAGGTCGTAACAGCCATTTATATTATATATATATATTATATTATATATATATATATATATATATATATATATATATATATATATATATATAGGGTTTTCAGTGAACTTGGCCTTTCAAGTAATCACACTTGTCAGCAGTAGTATTTTTCAGAATTATTACCAAATGTTCTGCTCCCTTTGAGGCTAAATACAAGTACATATATGAGCCTCAAAAATGAGTTAAAGTAAGCTGTAACGAATCTTGTGGCTTATAATGTGGAGTTTCTATTGAAAATTAGAGGTTACTCTGCATCAAAAGAATAAAAGAATTATAGAGCCAGTGCTTAGTGATAATGTGCTGTTAATGACCCGTTTAAAAGTCGTCCAGGTCACGGAAACCATAAAAGGGTCCAGAGGGTACAAGGCCATGAAAGGAAGAGCTACTCATTCATGTCTGGTTGGTCAAACGCACGAGCCAGAAATGTGGCTAAACTCTAAATCAACAGGCAGCCATCTAAAGTCTGATTAGGAGGATCCAAAAATAAAAGTTGTTGAATAAAACATAAAACTTATTTGCGCGTGTAGCAATCAGTATGCCTTGTGCAACCTCAGAAACCGTTTGTCTCATCGTGCCAGCCACTGTGAGACAACAGTGTGTCTTTCTGCATTTAAAGCCACTTAAAAAAATGTTTTCCCAACTTTTCTTTCATCTCTGAAATGAAGATGGAATGTATTATCGTTTCTAGAGGATAAAGCCTTTTCTGTTGGTGCACTAAAGTCAGATCTGAGGGGTAAAGGACAGGACTTAGTTTAAAAAAGTCACGAGGACATTGCTTCTATGCGTTTTTGTTTATTTAGGTTGTAAATGTTGATTATGTCATGGTTCAGTGGAGGCAAATTACAAGTCTTCCTGCTGTTTTTATCACTTATTTTATTAGTAAAGTTATAAAACTATGTGTAATTAGCTTTTTATGATTATTCTTAGTAATCATTAAAAATATGTTTTACATTTTGTTGTATTATAAGATAAAAGTTAGCCATATTCCATAGAACCTCCATGATACATTGAACCGTTTTAATCAATCAAACATGTATTTTTATATAATTTTTAAAACAGTTAGCCAAATAGTGAATGTAATGGTCCCCACTGTTCTGGTCGGGTGGCTCAGCTTTAGCTGCACTTAATGTATACGCACACTGGAGGTTTTATAGCTCAGCCTCCTCAGAAAATGTTTTTTGGTCTGTTACCTTTTAGCAAAATGTACATGCACAAAGGTTATGCAACCAGCAGGTTTGAAAAACAACAAAGCTGCAGAAATACACTGACCCCAACTGGTCACTAGATGGCAACATTTCTCCACTTTTCTCTTTGCACTGTCAGGGTTTTTCAACAGTTTTACTCCTCAGACACAAGAAAGAGACATTTTGATTGATGAAAAATGTTGATTCTGAGCCAGTATGTTGCCCCTTCTGTATCCACAAATTGCTCTAATTTTATTGGCAATTAAAGACGGCTGTTAAAGGTACATCTGCTCCTTGAGGTTTGTTAACCGTGATGCTGTTGCAACACTTTTTAAAGAGTGAAAACGTCTGTAGTGAGTGAACGCTGAAAGAGGGAAGAGCCGGGATTGCAGCTGAAGGCTTTAGTGATTACACCTGCGTGTGGGAGGCTTGTTTCACAGATAACACCGCAGCTGTGCTTGGAAAGTCGTTTAAATGGAGTTGAAGCCTTTATTAACACACCTGTGCTTTTCCGACTCTTTAGAGTCATAACGTCTGAAAGTTTTGGTGGAAAATCACAGAAGCGCCAAGCAGCTGGACTGGGTTCAGTTCTGGAGGGTAAAGGTTGGTTTATGCTTGACGCGTCCGCGAGGTCCGCGCGGTGAAATTGCGTCATTTTAACAACCACGCCCCTCCACCGCGCCTCCGCACGGCCCAAAATTTCCGCAACGTGCACCTAGGAAATTTTCTAACCACGCGGACGGTCGGACGCGGAAAAACATGGCGGACTGGCAAGAACTAGGTTCGTAAATACAGACATTTGTATGATTCAGCTCTCAGAGATCACCGTGATCAACATGTTGTTAATAATTCTTGGAGAGAAATAGCTCGCACTGTCGGAAAAGACGAGGACGCTGTTAAAAATGCTGGAATGCCATGTTGTAAACAACAGTAATTTCTACTTCTCCTACAGTGTTGATGCATGCCGTAGAGCTCCATGCTGCCCCCTACAGTTTGGGAGAATATTGGCTCACCGCAGAGACAAGCCGCATGAACCATAAACGCTGCAAGTTGTGAAGCGCGTTCCATCCGCGAGCCGCATCACCAAGCGGAAAGTAAATGCGTCAAGCATAAACCAAGAGTTAGTCTCACATCTACGCTGTAAATGCTGATTAGGACGCTAATACCCTCCATCCATCCATCCATCCATCCATCCATCCATCCATCCATCCATTTTCATCCGCTTATACGGAGTCGGATCACGGGAGCAGTAGCCTAAGTCGAAAGGCCCAAACTTCCCTCTCCCCAGCCACTTGGGCCAGCTTTTCCGGGGGAATCCCAAGACGTTCCCTGGTCAGATGAGAGACATAGTCCCTCCACCGTGTCCTGGGTCTACCTTTAGGTCTCCTCCCGGTTGGACGTGCCCGGAAAACCTCACCAGCTCTGTTTACCATGTCAGGGACAGATTTCTCTCCAGAGCTTACATCACTGATGCCTGTAGGGTTTTTGTATCTATTTACCGCTATGTCTCTGCCTAAGTCGAGATGCTGCAGACCGGTTGATCTACGTTCCTACCCTCACCTATGGTCATGAGCTTTGGGTAGTGACTAAAAGAATCATGAATGCAAGCAGCCAAAATGAGTTTTCTCCACAGGCTGGCTGGTGTCTACCTTAGCGATGGGGTGAGGAGCTTGGACATCCGGGAGGGGCTCGGAGTAGACTTGCTGCTCCTCCAAGTCGAGAGGAGCCAGTTGAGGTGGCTCGGGCATCTGGTCAGGATCCCTCCTGGACGCCTCCCTGGTGAGGCCTAACTGAGAGGGAAGTCCCAGGACACGCTGGAGGACTATGTCTCTTGCCTGGCCAGGGAACTCTTTGGGATTCCCCCAAAGGAGCTGGCCCAAGAAGCTGGGGAGGGGGAAGTCTGGGCCTCTCGGCTTAGGCTGCTCCCCTGCGACCAGACTCCGTATAAGCGGCTGAAAATGGATCATTGGATGGCTGCAGATGGAGTAAAGCAAACAAATTAGGACAAGACTGTTGCAGCTATAACCCAAGTGTGGCTGGAATGGAAGAAGTCATGCCTGCTCAGCTTTTTGGGTCAGGGGTGTGGGCCATAGTGCTCAGATTCTGAAGACACATGGTGTACTGATAGCCAGGCCTGAGTCTTGATACTCAGAGGCAGAGAGCACCATGAGGGGCGGGACTAGCCAGCTCAAATGTAACCAATCAGAATAAAGGCGGAAATGATGACTATCGCGCGACGCTGTCGTTTTTTTAGCTGTACTAAAAGATGGCGTCTGGCAACGACTCAGACGTCTTTCTTCACAAGAAAATCTTTTAGCGCTTCTTCTTGTTCTTCTTTTCTGTAAATTAAAATATTTGCAATTAGAGTTGTAAACCCCTCAGGAACCAATATGTCTGAACCATCCTTGAGCTAAATACCATAACACTTTTACGACCAAAAGAGAAAATGGCAACTGTAAAAGTTTGAATCAAGTCTGTTTTATTAAACAATCTGAAACCTTTTCACATTTGTCTCTGATGTCACTGTGAATGAAAAAGGTTAATTAACAAAATATTTTCTTGAAAATTTAGCAATAAATCCGTTATACACATCATTTCGAAGTGGTCGCATACTACATCAGGGTGACCCCCACAGCTAGCAGCATGCTCCACAGTGTAGCCCCAGTAACCGCTGTGGCACCATTAAAGTTCTTGTCGTGGACGTAGGTGATGATGTGCAGAGCGCCGCTGTAGGCCTCCTCGCAGGTCGGCTGGATCTGGTCCTCAGGTAGTAGAAAGCTGAACGTCTCATTATCCCTCAGCTCAAAAGTGTAGGTCATAGGAATGCCCTGGGCATAGGCCCAGTCTTGGGACGAACCAGAGAAAGGGTCTGTAGAGAATAATTGTTTGTTAGACTTCTTCATACTTATTAAGCGAGTTTACTGTTGGGTTATTTCCACATACATAATATTTCCAGGGCGGATCCAACTCTGTAGATTTGTCCGTAGACCTTCCGAATGGCTTCAGCTGCTCCCTGTCCCACCTCCATCTGTAGGACCAGAAAACAGCCTTCATTAGATGATCATTCAAACGAGTAGAGACCTGTCTTTCGTCTGCACCACTGAGACATAACTAATGGTTTTATCACTGGGAATTGGAGGAAAATTGGAAGCAGTTCATCAAGGATGAGGAAAAGACAGATGGGAACTTTGTGGAGCTTCATCAGTATTCATGACTTCACCTTGTGGCTCGCATTATGTCAAAATGAGCAGAAAATTCTAGCCCAGCTGTGATGGACGGGTAGAAATGCGCCCTGGTTTGTGAGGCGTGATGTGCACACACACACACACACACACACACACACACACACACACACACACACACACGCACGCACGCACGCACGCACGCACGCACGCACGCACGCACACACACACACACACACACACACACACACACACAAACTGGGAGAGTGAGATGGGAGACTTGTTTTAATCTCAGTACCGACACAAGACCAGAATTGACAAATACACGGTTTGTTGTTT